GCTTGTACGGTGGTCAAAATCAGCAGCAGGTATCAATCCGAACAATTCGTCAGAGCACTCCCCATGATAAATTCGGTAGAAGATGCACAGAGATGCAGTATCTCTACGCAGTTTCAGTGGGTCAAGTCGGACAGTAAGGCGCTAATGATTCACAATTGCTTCAATACGATTTAGATACAATATCCGAGTGGTGCATTAATAATTTAATGGGTCTAAATGTACGTAAATGTTTTGTGTTGTCTTTCACTCGCAGATCACAAAAATTAATTTATAATTACACTATTAATGGACAAATACTAGAACGCAGAAATGTCGCTAATGATCTGGGTATTATTTTTGACGACCAACTTTCTTTTAAACCACACTATGAATGTATTATAAACAGAAGCAACCAACTGCTGGGATTTATTACTAGATTAACTAAAAATTTTAAAAATCCTAGCAGTTTTCTTTCTCTATATCAATCACTGGTGAGAAGTATTCTAGAGTATGGCTCGGTTATCTGGTCTCCATTTTATAAAGTACATTGTGATCGTATTGAGAGTGTTCAGCGAAAATGCCTTAATATACTCGCGTTTCGAACGGGCTTGCTTCGCAAACTGAGCTCTTATGAAAACAAGCTTGAACACTTTCATATTGCATCTTTAGAGAGGCGTCGTCAGCGTAGTGACATACTATATCTGTACAAAATCATCCATAACGTCATAGATTCTCCATCTCTACTGCTTAATTTAAATTTTAATACGAGGTACAAAGCACGTAATCCCACTCATAAATTGTTTACATTGCAAGTCTACAAAAATAACACCTCTTATTACAATCCTGTGGTAAGAATGTGTCGTCATTATAATGACTTACTGCTCGACCACAAATCCATCGACATATTCGGTACAAAATATTTGATATTTAGGAAGAACCTGATTTCTATTATGTAGAACACGATTGAAAATATGTTTTCTTTTTATATATAGTTTTATCTTTTATATATTTATATAACATTTTAATTATTTCTTTTTATATTATGTGTTTGCTTTTAATGAATTACTCAAGCTGTGCACATAATATAATCGGATTATAACCTAGCCGAATCACAAATGTAATTATTACTTAAGTTTCTTATGGTTGTAATCTGTTTTATGTGTCAATGAGAATAAAAATAAAAAAATAAAAATAAAAAAATCATCAATGATTCGAGCCGCCCGACTCTGAATGCAATCTAACGGATGGAGTTGGTACTGTGGTGATCATACCCATAGGTGAGAACAGTATTCCATATGACACAGACATATGAACAGGTTAGAAAATAATAAAATTCAGCAGCTGACAACAACCTTAGGGACGATGTAGGTAGTTATAGAGATGGAACGCAGGGCGTTGTTGATCCGCGCCAATATTGGCCTGCCAATTCATTCAATGTAGAGATACAGTAAAAATAATACTATTTAAAGCGTATTGTGCATCGTATTCGGCGAGTCTATAGTTCTGGTATACCCGGTGAGGGGGGGGGGGGGGCTACAATGCCTTCCGTATCCAATTTAAAAATAATTTCAGGTTGCTGTTGCGGCTCCCGCGCTTCTATAGCGCCTCAGCGATGTTTGTCGAAGTTAGCACAGATAGTTTTGACGCAGTCTGGCGTAAAAAGACAGTTTTGTTTTTACATAGAATACACGGGAGTGGCAACAGTATCGTGAACAGGTTTGTAAATAAATTAGACAGGATTCTCGTGAGAATGCTCGCCGAGAGGACTAGATAATTATTAGTGATTAAGTATTAACATAGTTTTCAAGTGCACTTACTAATAAAAATGGATCCAAGTTATCTAAAAAATTAAATTAAATATGTTCGAACAATTTCTGTGTTATTATAATAAATCAAGCAGATAAAATACAATAAATGCAGCAATGTGCTGCATTTAATAAAGAAAAAGATTAAGGCAGAGTAGCAGAGTGATTGGTCTCACGAAACAGGAGGTGCTCAGAAGTAACAGTTGCTGTTACGTCTCATTTTGTCAAAAGGAAATTGACAAAATTTTAAAGTCAACCTTAGAAAATTGTAAATTTGTTCAAGATATAAATAAAATAATTGTTCTTATCTATAGTTTTATTGATTGTTATTATTATTATTTTACAACGCTTACATCTCCCTTCTCAAACAGGAAAGATCGCTTTAATTTTGGGTTTTATTAAACTAAAAAACTTACGTAGATATTTGACAAGCGATATAATTTGACTTATTTCTAATATTTGATAGCATCTTAATTGCTATGTGGTCCCGTAATTTTTTTTATACAACTTAGAATGGCAAACAAGCTGACAGCCCACCTGATGGAAAGTGGTAACCGTCGCCTATAGACATGAGCAGTACCATGGACATAACAGAGTATACTGTTTCGCCCATGATACCCCCCATGCGTTGCCATTCCTGAGGACTCAGGTGTTATTCCTCTGTACCCAGTAAATTCACTGCCATATCCCACCCCTTAAACCGAAATACAGCTATGCAAACATTTACGTAAATATATGCTTGAAGTTTTAGAACTTTAGAACTTAAAAATCCTGGAGCCAACAAATTGTCGGTGCTTTCTGATAAAGTGGTGAACAGATACCACCATCTTAGTAGGACAATGCACATCTTCGTCAGCCTTAATTTCTTTCAGATTCAGTTAACAATGGAGGGTTAGTTGGAGCCAGTTGGAAACGTTAACCACCTCTACTTCTTCGAATAAGGTATCATATCTTCTTCTCTTATTTTTTATGAATATAGTCTGTCCATTTGTTAAATATTTGGAAATCAATTGGCCATCAGATGACCTTCGAGGGTATGAAAATATATTTTCATGTGGTCTGCACCCAGTGTTCGTATATAGTAATGAATGAATATTATGTAATGCTTGAGTAGTAACCTATTTCCACTCATTTATAGGTAGTTTAAAAGAAAGAAGTGAAAGCTGGATAGTTTCCACATATTGTAACGCTGTGTCCATTTCTACGAGGATTTTAAGTAGCTACTCCTAAACCACTAAAAAAAATCCTAAAGTTCGGATCAAATAAAAGATGCTTCTCGGTTTGATTGTCCAAAATTAGCCACTCACAATGTAACGAACAATTCAGTTAATTTCTTTTTAAAAGAGGAGCTTTGTAAATTGTCAGGCTTACAAACGATATCGAACCAAGTCTCAGGAGAGATTTTGCCTCACTCTGTGTGTTTTCCCGCTTGTACAACGGATTGTGCTCAGAGGAATTATTCAATGTAACAGGAAGTTCACCCTCATGCTTTAGAGCTTAGATGGTCGCATACAACGCGGTTTTAGAGATATTTTCTTCCACGAACACCCAGGTTATGGAATAAGCTCCCTGCCTAGGTTTTTCCAAAAGACTACACAGTATAGAGTTCTTCAAAGTAGGAGTAAAGAGGTTTCTTCAGTGTCGACAATGCGCGCGTAATTCCCCTGATATTGCAGGTGTTTATAGGCTACGGTAACTGCTTACCACCATGTGAGTTGTATGCTTGTTTACCACCTCAGTGATGTAAAAAGAAAAACAAAGAATTCAGTTAATTTTCTTACGTTTTCTGTACCTATATCCAGACATGGTAAGGCAGAAATCAAGAGTACGACATCTACAATGGTTAAAAGATATTAATTTTCTGTTCTTACTAGATCAACATTCTTTAAAATCCATTGAAATTCGTTTCAATTACTAGCAATATATCATACCAAGTGAACCTCTACGCGAATCCCCGTAAAACCATCGTGGTTAATTCTTTGTTCAATTCGTCACGATTGGCAACTAACCTGCTTTCATCCTCACCTATCATCCCTTACTGGTACCCCGCCAGTGTATACTGATTCCACAGGTGGGGTTACTATTTTATTAGCACCTATTTAAAAAAATATCCCATACCTAAGTTCCTGAAGACTTTACAAAACTTGGTTTAATTTTGGCATAAATGAAAGATAACAGTATGAGACTACAGTATGGGGTCCTTCAAAGAAACCCTTAATATATTCTATATTGAGGGTTTCAGGTTGAGGGTGTTATTCCTCTGTATCCTGTAAATTCACTGCCATATCCCACTATTCAAATCGAAATACAGCTATGCAAACACGGTTCACAACATGCTTCACGGTTGAAACACGAATGGGACAGAGGTGTCTAAGCAATCGAACTTTGTACAAAGTCTCTCTCAGCTAAATTGATGGTAATTGGTAGTAAAAGTGTAAATCCCTCTGGTAGTATGTGTTTATCTCTTAGTAAACTGTGTGATGTTGATTCTACACTATAAAATTAATAACTATAGACACCCAGTCCAGTAATAGGATATTTTTATATATTTTAACATACTATATGGATAAGATATGGGCATAACATATATAAAATAGGATCTAACTATTCCATTGCTAATAATATACCCTGTTAGCATGGTCTCGCCTGGAAACCACCTTGGTTAATTCCTAATGAATTCATTACTATAATCCTACTGTTAACTTTATCTTTATTCATCACCATTCACTGGTAATCTTCTAACGTATATTGACATTGCAAGTGGGGTTACCTACTCATTTAAAAAAATATCTAATTCTTAACTAAAATTTAAAAAATCAAACCAAATAAGGCAATCCAATAATCAAAATTTATTGATAGAAATAAAAAAAAATAGATAAAAATAAAAAACAAAAACTAACAAAAAATGTTCGAGTTAATCAGTATTAATAACATAACTTTGATATTTGAAAATAACATTTGCTAAGAAAATGTTCTTGCTTCTTTGATTTCTAAAGTAGAAAGTATTAGGGTAAAAGTGAACGCTGAGGTACGTGGGAACTCGATGGTAAAAAGAAGTAAGCCAATCTTTACAATTATAATTTGACTCCACGTTAAAGTTTCTATTGTATAAGACTACTGTTGTTGATATTACTGAAGTTGATACTTGAGTCTAAATGAAAATTTCCGTTATTAGAGCCGGTTCAAGAACAGTTGGAAACACTAAGTATTTCCGGTTTAGAATGAACGGGAGTAGGAACTTCTCGATCTACCTGTAATGCCAAGGCCGCTGGAGAATGAACCGGACTTGGCATGACTTGAGCTACCTAAAATGCCCAGGCCGCTGGAGAATGAACCAGAGTTAGCATGACTTGAGCTACCTGAACTACCAAAGCCACTAGAGAAAGATCCGAATTTAGCATGACTCGAACTACCTGAACTGCCAAGGCGGCTAATTAAAGAACCAATGTCAATATGACTACCTAACTTTCCAAGGTCGCCTAATAAAGAACCGGATTTAGCATGACTACCTAAAATGCCAAGATCGTTGGAATATGAACCAGAGTTACTGTAGCTTAAACTACTTGAACTGCCAAGGCCGTTGGAGGTCGAACTGGAGTCATCGTATGAACTACTGCTGTAAGAGCCGCCTGAATGTGACCCGGTTGCGCTGTTTGAACTACTGCTGAAGTAATTGCTTGAGTGTGATCCTGTGGCGCTGTCTGAACTACTGCTCGAATGCTCGCTTGAGTGTGATCCTGTGGCGCTATTTGAACTACTTCGGGAGTAGTCGCTCGAATGTGATCCTGTAGCGCTATCTGAACTACTGCTTAATTGTTCACTTGAGTGTGATCCCGTTACATCGTTTGAACTAGTGCTGGAATAATCGCTCGACTGTGACCCTATGGCACTGTCTGAACTAATGCTAGAATGCTCGCTCGAGTGAAATCCTGTAGCATCATTTGAACTACTGCTGGAATAGTCGCTCGAGTGAGATCCATCTACGCTGTTCAAGCTACTGTCAGAATAATTGCTTGAGTCTGAAGCAGTTGAACTATGTGAACCACTGCTGGAATAATCACTTGCGTGTGATCCTGTAACGCTGTTTGAGCTACTGCCAGAATAGTCACTTGAGTCTAATCCAGTTACGCTGTTTGAACTACTGCCAGAAATGTCGCTTGAGTCTGAAGCGGTTGAACTACGTGAACCACTGCTGGAATAATCCCTTGAGTGTGATCCAGTTACGCTGTTTGATCTACTGCCAGAATAGTCACTTGAGTGCGAATCGGTTGCGCTGTTTAAGCTACTGCCAGAATAGTCGCTTGAGTCTGAAGCGGTTGAACTACGTGAACCACTGCTGGAATAATCACTTGAGTGTGATCCAGTTACGCTGTTCGAGCTACTGCCAGAATAGTCACTTGAGTGCGAATCGGTTGCGCTTTTTAAGCTACTGCCAGAATAGTCGCTTGAGTGTGATCCACTTACGCTGTTTGAACTACTGCCAGAAATGTCGCTTGAGTCTGAAGCGGTTGAACTACGTGAACCACTGCTGGAATAATCACTTGAGTGTGATCCAGTTACGCTGTTTGAGCTACCGCCAGAATAGTCACTTGAGTGCGAATCGGTTGCGCTGTTTAAGCTACTTCCAGAATAGTCGCTTGAGTGTGATCCACTTACGCTGTTTGAACTACTGCCAGAAATGTCGCTTGAGTCTGAAGCGGTTGAACTATGTGAACCACTGCTGGAATAATCACTTGAGTGTGATCCAGTTACGCTGTTCGAGCTACTGCCAGAATAGTCACTTGAGTGCGAATCGGTTGCGCTTTTTAAGCTACTGCCAGAATAGTCGCTTGAGTGTGATCCACTTACGCTGTTTGAACTACTGCCAGAAATGTCGCTTGAGTCTGAAGCGGTTGAACTACGTGAACCACTGCTGGAATAATCACTTGAGTGTGATCCAGTTACGCTGTTTGAGCTACTGCCAGAATAGTCACTTGAGTGCGAATCGGTTGCGCTGTTTAAGCTACTTCCAGAATAGTCGCTTGAGTGTGAACCACTTACGCTGTTTAAGTTACTGCCAGAATAGTCGCTTGAGTCTGAAGCGGTTGAACTACGTGAACCACTGCTGGAATAATCACTTGAGTGTGATCCAGTTACGCTGTTTGAGCTACTGCCAGAATAGTCACTTGAATGCGAATCGGTTGCGCTGTTTAAGCTACTGCCAGAATAGTCGCTTGAGTCTGAAGCGGTTGAACTACGTGAACCACTGCTGGAAAAATCACTTGAGTGTGATCCAGTTACGCTGTTTGAGCTACTGTCAGAATAGTCACTTGAGTGCGAATCGGTTGCGCTGTTTAAGCTACTTCCAGAATAGTCGCTTGAGTGTGATCCACTTACGCTGTTTGAACTACTGCCAGAAATGTCGCTTGAGTCTGAAGCGGTTGAACTATGTAAACCACTGCTGGAATAATCACTTGAGTGTGATCCAGTTACGCTGTTTGAGCTACTGCCAGAATAGTCACTTGAGTGTGATCCAGTTACGCTGTTTGAACTACTGCCAGAAATGTCGCTTGAGTCTGAAGCGGTTGAACTACGTGAACCACTGCTGGAATAATCACTCGAGTGTGATCCAGTTACGCTGTTCGAGCTACTGCCAGAATAGTCACTTGAGTGCGAATCGGTTGCGCTTTTTAAGCTACTGCCAGAATAGTCGCTTGAGTGTGATCCACTTACGCTGTTTGAACTACTGCCAGAAATGTCGCTTGAGTCTGAAGCGGTTGAACTACGTGAACCACTGCTGGAATAATCACTTGAGTGTGATCCAGTTACGCTGTTTGAGCTACTGCCAGAATAGTCACTTGAGTGCGAATCGGTTGAGTGTGAACCACTTACGCTGTTTAAGTTACTGCCAGAATAGTCGCTTGAGTCTGAAGCGGTTGAACTACGTGAACCACTGCTGGAATAATCACTTGAGTGTGATCCAGTTACGCTGTTTGAGCTACCGCCAGAATAGTCACTTGAGTGCGAATCGGTTGCGCTGTTTAAGCTACTGCCAGAATAGTCGCTTGAGTGTGATCCACTTACGCTGTTTGAACTACTGCCAGAAATGTCGCTTGAGTCTGAAGCGGTTGAACTACGTGAACCACTGCTGGAATAATCACTTGAGTGTGATCCAGTTACGCTGTTTGAGCTACTGCCAGAATAGTCACTTGAGTGCGAATCGGTTGCGCTGTTTAAGCTACTTCCAGAATAGTCGCTTGAGTGTGAACCACTTACGCTGTTTAAGTTACTGCCAGAATAGCCGCTTGAGTCTGAAGCGGTTGAACTACGTGAACCACTGCTGGAATAATCACTTGAGTGTGATCCAGTTACGCTGTTTGAGCTACTGCCAGAATAGTCACTTGAATGCGAATCGGTTGCGCTGTTTAAGCTACTGCCAGAATAGTCGCTTGAGTCTGAAGCGGTTGAACTACGTGAACCACTGCTGGAAAAATCACTTGAGTGTGATCCAGTTACGCTGTTTGAGCTACTGTCAGAATAGTCACTTGAGTGCGAATCGGTTGCGCTGTTTAAGCTACTTCCAGAATAGTCGCTTGAGTGTGATCCACTTACGCTGTTTGAACTACTGCCAGAAATGTCGCTTGAGTCTGAAGCGGTTGAACTATGTAAACCACTGCTGGAATAATCACTTGAGTGTGATCCAGTTACGCTGTTTGAGCTACTGCCAGAATAGTCACTTGAGTGTGATCCAGTTACGCTGTTTGAACTACTGCCAGAAATGTCGCTTGAGTCTGAAGCGGTTGAACTACGTGAACCACTGCTGGAATAATCACTCGAGTGTGATCCAGTTACGCTGTTCGAGCTACTGCCAGAATAGTCACTTGAGTGCGAATCGGTTGCGCTTTTTAAGCTACTGCCAGAATAGTCGCTTGAGTGTGATCCACTTACGCTGTTTGAACTACTGCCAGAAATGTCGCTTGAGTCTGAAGCGGTTGAACTACGTGAACCACTGCTGGAATAATCACTTGAGTGTGATCCAGTTACGCTGTTTGAGCTACTGCCAGAATAGTCACTTGAGTGCGAATCGGTTGAGTGTGAACCACTTACGCTGTTTAAGTTACTGCCAGAATAGTCGCTTGAGTCTGAAGCGGTTGAACTACGTGAACCACTGCTGGAATAATCACTTGAGTGTGATCCAGTTACGCTGTTTGAGCTACCGCCAGAATAGTCACTTGAGTGCGAATCGGTTGCGCTGTTTAAGCTACTTCCGGAATAGTCGCTTGAGTGTGATCCACTTACGCTGTTTGAACTACTGCCAGAAATGTCGCTTGAGTCTGAAGCGGTTGAACTATGTGAACCACTGCTGGAATAATCACTTGAGTGTGATCCAGTTACGCTGTTCGAGCTACTGCCAGAATAGTCACTTGAGTGCGAATCGGTTGCGCTTTTTAAGCTACTGCCAGAATAGTCGCTTGAGTGTGATCCACTTACGCTGTTTGAACTACTGCCAGAAATGTCGCTTGAGTCTGAAGCGGTTGAACTACGTGAACCACTGCTGGAATAATCACTTGAGTGTGATCCAGTTACGCTGTTTGAGCTACCGCCAGAATAGTCACTTGAGTGCGAATCGGTTGCGCTGTTTAAGCTACTGCCAGAATAGTCACTTGAGTGCGAATCGGTTGCGCTGTTTAAGCTACTGCCAGAATAGTCGCTTGAGTGTGAACCACTTACGCTGTTTAAGCTACTGCCAGAATAGTCGCTTGAGTCTGAAGCGGTGGAACCACGTGAACCACTGCTGGAATAATCACTTGAGTGTGATCCAGTTACGCTGTTTGAGCTACCGCCAGAATAGTCACTTGAGTGCGAATCGGTTGCGCTCTTTAAGCTACTGCCAGAATAGTCGCTTGAGTCTGAAGCGGTTGAACTACGTGAACCACTGCTGGAATAATCACTCGAGTGTGATCCAGTTACGCTGTTTGAAGTACCGCCAGAATAGTCACTTGAGTGCGAATCGGTTGCGCTGTTTAAGCTACTGCCAGAATAGTCGCTTGAGTCTGAAGCGGTTGAACTACGTGAACCACTGCTGGAATAATCACTTGAGTGTGATCCAGTTACGCTGTTTGAGCTACTGCCAGAATAGTCACTTGAGTGCGAATCGGTTGCGCTGTTTAAGCTACTTCCAGAATAGTCGCTTGAGTGTGAACCACTTACGCTGTTTAAGCTACTGCCAGCATAGTCACTTGAGTGCGAATCGGTTGCGCTGTTTAAGCTACTGCCAGCATAGTCACTTGAGTCTGAAGCGGTTGAACTACGTGAACCACTGCTGGAATAATCACTTGAGTGTGATCCAGTTACGCTGTTTGAACTACTACCAGAATAGTCACTTGAGTGCGAATCGGTTGCGCTGTTTAAGCTACTTCCGGAATAGTCGCTTGAGTGTGATCCACTTACGCTGTTTGAACTACTGCCAGAAATGTCGCTTGAGTCTGAAGCGGTTGAACTATGTGAACCACTGCTGGAATAATCACTTGAGTGTGATCCAGTTACGCTGTTCGAGCTACTGCCAGAATAGTCACTTGAGTGCGAATCGGTTGCGCTTTTTAAGCTACTGCCAGAATAGTCGCTTGAGTGTGATCCAGTTACGCTGTTTGAAGTACCGCCAGAATAGTCGCTTGAGTGTGATCCACTTACGCTGTTTGAACTACTGCCAGAAATGTCGCTTGAGTCTGAAGCGGTTGAACTACGTGAACCACTGCTGGAATAATCACTTGAGTGTGATCCAGTTACGCTGTTTGAGCTACCGCCAGAATAGTCACTTGAGTGCGAATCGGTTGCGCTCTTTAAGCTACTGCCAGAATAGTCGCTTGAGTCTGAAGCGGTTGAACTACGTGAACCACTGCTGGAATAATCACTCGAGTGTGATCCAGTTACGCTGTTTGAAGTACCGCCAGAATAGTCACTTGAGTGCGAATCGGTTGCGCTGTTTAAGCTACTGCCAGAATAGTCGCTTGAGTCTGAAGCGGTTGAACTACGTGAACCACTGCTGGAATAATCACTTGAGTGTGATCCAGTTACGCTGTTTGAGCTACTGCCAGAATAGTCATTTGAGTGCGAATCGGTTGCGCTGTTTAAGCTTCTTCCAGAATAGTCGCTTGAGTGTGAACCACTTACGCTGTTTAAGCTACTGCCAGAATAGTCGCTTGAGTCTGAAGCGGTTGAACTACGTGAACCACTGCTGGAATAATCACTTGAGTGTGATCCAGTTACGCTGTTTAAGCTACTGCCAGAATAGTCACTTGAGTGCGAATCGGTTGCGCTGTTTAAGCTACTTCCAGAATAGTCGCTTGAGTGTGAACCACTTACGCTGTTTAAGCTACTGCCAGCATAGTCACTTGAGTGCGAATCGGTTGCGCTGTTTAAGCTACTGCCAGCATAGTCACTTGAGTCTGAAGCGGTTGAACTACGTGAACCACTGCTGGAATAATCACTTGAGTGTGATCCAGTTACGCTGTTTGAAGTACCGCCAGAATAGTCACTTGAGTGCGAATCGATTGCGCTGTTTAAGCTACTGCCAGAATAGTCGCTTGAGTGTGATCCAGTTATGCTGTTTGAGCTACTGCCAGAATAATCACTTGAGTGCGAATCGGTTGCGCTGTTTAAGCTACTGCCAGAATAGTCGCTTGAGTCTGAAGCGGTTGAACTACGTGAACCACTGCTGGAATAATCACTTGAGTGTGATCCAGTTACGCTGTTTGAACTACTACCAGAATAGTCACTTGAGTGCGAATCGGTTGCGCTGTTTAAGCTACTTCCGGAATAGTCGCTTGAGTGTGATCCACTTACGCTGTTTGAACTACTGCCAGAAATGTCGCTTGAATCTGAAGCGGTTGAACTATTTGAACCACTGCTGGAATAATCACTTAAGTGTGATCCAGTTACGCTGTTCGAGCTACTGCCAGAATAGTCACTTGAGTGCGAATCGGTTGCGCTTTTTAAGCTACTGCCAGAATAGTCGCTTGAGTGTGATCCAGTTACGCTGTTTGAGCTACTGCCAGAATAGTCACTTGAGTGCGAATCGGTTGCGCTGTTTAAGCTACTGCCAGAATAGTCGCTTGAGTCTGAAGCGGTTGAACTACGTGAACCACTGCTGGAATAATCACTTGAGTGTGATCCAGTTACGCTGTTTGAGCTACCGCCAGAATAGTCACTTGAGTGCGAATCGGTTGCGCTGTTTAAGCTACTGCCAGAATAGTCACTTGAGTGCGAATCGGTTGCGCTGTTTAAGCTACTTCCAGAATAGTCGCTTGAGTGTGAACCACTTACGCTGTTTAAGCTACTGCCTGAATAGTCGCTTGAGTCTGAAGCGGTTGAACTACGTGAACCACTGCTGGAATAATCACTTGAGTGTGATCCAGTTACGCTGTTTGAACTACTACCAGAATAGTCACTTGAGTGCGAATCGGTTGCGCTGTTTAAGCTACTTCCGGAATAGTCGCTTGAGTGTGATCCACTTACGCTGTTTGAACTACTGCCAGAAATGTCGCTTGAGTCTGAAGCGGTTGAACTATGTGAACCACTGCTGGAATAATCACTTGAGTGTGATCTAGTTACGCTGTTCGAGCTACTGCCAGAATAGTCACTTGAGTGCGAATCGGTTGCGCTGTTTAAGCTACTGCCAGAATAGTCGCTTGAGTCTGAAGCGGTTGAACTACGTGAACCACTGCTGGAATAATCACTTGAGTGTGATCCAGTTACGCTGTTTGAAGTACCGCCAGAATAGTCGCTTGAGTGTGATCCACTTACGCTGTTTGAACTACTGCCAGAAATGTCGCTTGAGTCTGAAGCGGTTGAACTACGTGAACCACTGCTGGAATAATCACTTGAGTGTGATCCAGTTACGCTGTTTGAGCTACCGCCAGAATAGTCACTTGAGTGCGAATCGGTTGCGCTGTTTGAACTACTACCAGAATCGTCACTTGAGTGCGAATCGGTTGCGCTGTTTAAACTACTTCCGGAATAGTCGCTTGAGTGTGATCCACTTACGCTGTTTGAACTACTGCCACAAATGTCGCTTGAGTCTGAAGCGGTTGAACTATGTGAACCACTGCTGGAATAATCACTTGAGTGTGATCCAGTTACGCTGTTTGAAGTACCGCCAGAATAGTCACTTGAGTGCGAATCGGTTGCGCTGTTTAAGCTACTGCCAGAATAGTCGCTTGAGTCTGAAGCGGTTGAACTACGTGAACCACTGCTGGAATAATCACTTGAGTGTGATCCAGTTACGCTGTTTGAAGTACCGCCAGAATAGTCGCTTGAGTGTGATCCACTTACGCTGTTTGAACTACTGCCAGAAATGTCGCTTGAGTCTGAAGCGGTTGAACTACGTGAACCACTGCTGGAATAATCACTTGAGTGTGATCCAGTTACGCTGTTTGAGCTACCGCCAGAATAGTCACTTGAGTGCGAATCGGTTGCGCTGTTTAAGCTACTGCCAGAATAGTCACTTGAGTGCGAATCGGTTGCGCTGTTTAAGCTACTTCCAGAATAGTCGCTTGAGTGTGAACCACTTACGCTGTTTAAGCTACTGCCTGAATAGTCGCTTGAGTCTGAAGCGGTTGAACTACGTGAACCACTGCTGGAATAATCACTTGAGTGTGATCCAGTTACGCTGTTTGAACTACTACCAGAATAGTCACTTGAGTGCGAATCGGTTGCGCTGTTTGAACTACTACCAGAATAGTCACTTGAGTGCGAATCGGTTGCGCTGTTTAAACTACTTCCGGAATAGTCGCTTGAGTGTGATCCACGTACGCTGTTTGAACTACTGCCAGAAATGTCGCTTGAGTCTGAAGCGGTTGAACTACGTGAACCACTGTTGGAATAATCACTTGAGTGTGATCCAGTTACGCTGTTTGAGCTACCGCCAGAATAGTCACTTGAGTGCGAATCGGTTGCGCTGTTTAAGCTACTGCCAGAATAGTCGCTTGAGTCTGAAGCGGTTGAACTACGTGAACCACTGCTGGAATAATCACTTGAGTGTGATCCAGTTACGCTGTTTGAAATACCGCCAGAATAGTCACTTGAGTGCGAATCGGTTGCGCTGTTTAAGCTACTGCCAGCATAGTCACTTGAGTGTGAGCCGGCTAAGGTGCTTGAACCACTGCTGGAATAGTCGTTGGAATGTGAACCGGATGATCTATTTAAACTGCTGCTGGTTCTTTTACTTGAATGTAAACTGGATGATTTACGTGAACTACTGCTGGAACTTCCGCTTGAGTGTGAACCTGAGGATTTACGTGAACTACTGCTGGAAATTCCGCTTGAGTGAGCACTGGATGATTTACGTGAACTGCTGCTTGAACTACCGCTTGCACGTGATTTGGATGATTTACGTGAACTACTGCTGGAACTACCACTTGAATGTGAACCGGATGATGAGCTACTGCTGGAACCGCTTGAAAGGTCATTTTCTGCAAAATGATAAAACAAACCCATTTATTTATTTAAAACAACTTAATGTTTTAAATAATATTAAGTTGGCCATGTTTAAATTGTACGAAAGTGAATTTACATTCCTGTTTTGTTCTTCCGTTCCATAACTTTGAGTATTATTATATCTCTTAATTAATTAATTTAAAAGGGAAAAAGACTTTATTTGTTAATAAATATAAACTTGACAATATTTACAAACAATACTTGGACAGAACGAGCGAGGTTAAAATCATTCTGAAATTAATGCTTGTAATAGAAAATGTATTATGTCATATAATACATAAAGTTGCAAATATAATATACAACGGGCTCTACACTAGGCAAATCTATATTTATTAACAATTTATAATTTGTTATAATATCTCATCATCATCATCATATCACTCCCTAACCGTCCACTGCTGGGAGAAGGGAAAGGAATTGCTAGCAATATACACAACCAGGAAAACCTCCTCGCGGTTCCGCCTGGAACCTATCATGGTTAATTCCTGATGAATTCATCATGATGTGCTAACTGGCCTGTTTTCATTCTCATCATGATGTGATCCCTTCACTGGTGCTCCGCCAGCGTATCCCGTTAGCGCAGTGGTGGGGTAGTAGGGTTACCATACCATTTTCACCCATAAAAAAACCGTCCACGGCTGAACATAAGACTCTCACTTCGGGAGGCGGATTGGCAACCGCAGTTTGGCTTTAGAGATGTTTTAAGAGGGACGCTACTGCCCATCCATCGCCCTCCCTTAGTCGCCACTTACGACACCCACAGGAAAGACAGAGGGTGGCTTATTCTATACCAGGAACACATGACCAATATATGTACATAGATTTATGTTACAATAAAATTATGAAATAATAGGCTATCCTAACTCGAGCACCAGAAAGGGAACGTATCTTACTTTAATATAATAATAAGCATATAATTAATCTTGGCATGAATATTGATAGATTATTAACCTGCTCCAATCACGCTCGATAGTCCAGACGAGAATCCAATTTCACCTGCACGATCTACAGAATTTACAGCTGAAGCTATACCATGGGCTACACTATTGACTGCATTTTTGAATCCTTTTGCTCCTGCAGATATAATATGACCGGCAGTATCAAAGAGATTGCCACTTGTTGAAATACTGCCTTCAGTCTCGTCTCCTAATTTAAATGCGCCTCCGATTCCTTTAGGACTTACACCAACAGCGCCCTCTATGCCTCCGCCAGCGTGAAAGCCAATGCCTGTTGAAATAATAAAATTATAGGTTAAATCAGACATAAGCACTCCGGATGTTTTACTGTGAAATTTATCAATATCTAATTGTCTACTTAATTTATTAAAAGTTGTTTTTTGTTTGCTATATATAAAAAGTTATTGTTTTGTTTATAGTTTGTTAAAAACACGGGAGAAGAAAATGGAGGGATAAGTTTAATTAATTTAGACGGTATATTAATATTATTAATGATTAATTCATAACAAACGATTACACGAGAAGTTAATTTAATGAAATAATTAATATCAGCTATTTCACAGTGTTTTTCAAGGCTGATGGGTTATTGCTGATAATAATGGAGGAGCAAACTAAGAGGATAATAGCAGTAGAAGGAAAAATGTGCCGTAGTAGAACACCAATGATCTGGTTTCCAATAGTAAAGAATGACATGAAATGTGCAAACGCGAGCGAATAAACAATTCTTAATCGAAGGCCGTGGCTTAGGATTATTAGGAGGGCTGATCCTAAATAAACTGGGACAACAAAAGAAGAATTACATAGAAACAAATAGGTACATCATTTACCAGTGTAATAGTCATTTATCGTTTGTTTCATTTTTAAAACTATCTGTCATATATTAATTTAGAGTGTTGTATGCTTTCTCAATTAGTATCCTCTTTAGATGCAAAATACATTAATTAGTCTTTCAAATATTGGGGCAATATATTATATACTTTCAGACCAATGCAGAATATGCTATTGATGTATACTATTGCGTTACATTTTAACGTCAGGGGTGTCTTTTTCTAGAAATCTGTCCTATTCTAGAATGTAGGCGTACGGGTGTGCGACTCCGGCCTCCTAAGCCGCTGTAGTGTCCCAGTCCTTTTCGCAACTGCAGTGTCCCACCTTACCTTTCCCACATAAGTCCCTTACTCCTCTTATTTACCAATTTCCTTTACGCATTTCCAACGTTCCCTTCCTTTTTTTCCTCAATCTTTTCCTTCGTACCGTAGACGGTGGAAACCACCAACAAATAAATGCATTCCCAAAGAAGGTTGACGTCAGACAAGCGGACGTTCGTAAAACTATAAGCCAAATCTTTTTTGTAATATGGATAAATCACATATTATGCTGACCCCAAATAATAACTGGGATAAGGGTAGGAAAATAACGATTTACCAGTATAATAAGAACTATTACTTTTATCTAAAAAAGAAGGTACGTATTATTCTTTTTAACATTGACGAAGAAATTTTATGATATGTTGATATCCACAAGTTTCAGTTGGTCAGTTTAATACGTTTCGGATCGCAACTCCGGGTCCAGTAAAATGCGGTGTAGAACATTATTTTCTCATAAAACGGGAGCAGTTTCTAATGACGTTGTGATTTCAGCTTGTTTAAATAATATAGGTACCCATATGTACTTATACAGACAAGGTACAAACGCGACAGAACGTTAATGTCACCAGAGGGAGACTTTGTACAAAAGTCGTTTGCTTGAACACCTCTGTTCCATTTGTGTTTCTATCGTGAAGCAGTTGTGTTTGCATGTCTGTGTTTCGGTTTGAAGGGTAGGATATAGGGTAGGGCAGTGAGTTTACAGGGTACAGAGAAATAACGCCGGAGTCCTCAGAAATGGAAACGTACTGCTCATGTCTAGGCGACGGTTACCATTTTCCATCAGTTGGTCCGTCAGTTTATTTGCCATTCTAAGTTGCATAAAAAAAAGAAAAAAAGTTAATAGTAAGTGACGTTCTGTTTTAAAAGATTTTTGTAGTGCGCATACGCCTCCCTACAGCGTAGCAAATGTGTGGGCGGGGCGTATTACAATGACTTGTAGTGGCGTTGTGCGTGTGGAGAACTGCATCTGTGTGCATATGCTCTTAGAGATGTTCATAAAACCGATGTAGTTTGGCTCTATCGTTTTGAAAATTTGATATGTTGTAGCACAGTAAGTACTGTCCGCAAAAATCTTGGATAATACGCTTGTATTACCCAAGATTTTTACAGTCAAATGACGTTAATTAACACTCGGCTTGGAAAACAATATTTTGGAATGACGTGAGGTGACATTGTTCTATATCAGAAATCTTACTGTTGACTTTCACTGACCTTGCTTACCGCAACGTGTTAATTTAAACATCTTTTGGATTTGCGTCGTGTTTTAGTTGAAAGAATTGTTTTAGCAATGTAATTAAAATTCACTTATAACTTGCTAAGGCGATATATATTATTCTTTCTTTGATAAGTTAATTTGGTGATATGTTGAACTCGACTTGATATGTTGACCTGTTAACTTGTTTACCAGAGGGAGACTTTGTACAAAAGTCATTTGCTTGGGTACCTCTGTCCCATTCGTGTTTTAACCGTGAAGCAGTTGTATTTGCATGGCTATGTTTCGGTTTGATGGGTGGGATATGACGTGAATTTACAGGGTACAGAGGAATAACACTTGATTCCTCAGGAATGGCAACGCATGGGATATCATGGGCGAAACAGTATACTCTGTTATGTCCATGGTACTGCTCATGTCTATAGGCGACGGTTGCCATTTCCTTTAGGTGGGTCGTCAGCTTGTTTGCCATTTTAAGTTGTATAAAAAAAAAAGTTAGGCTGATCAGTTTAGTTTAAATTCTTTTGGGTTTGTAACGTGTTTTGGTTTGAATAGCTGATTGAATACATTTTGATCTAGTTTTTGTGTCTTTTATTAAACAATGAGTTAGTATTTTAGTAATTTATACAAGAAAGCTTTTAATTATTAAAATGTAATTAAACGAAATATCTGAATACTTTTAATTCGCAAGTTATTTAATATCCTTATCTATAAATGGTAAAAGGAATTAGATTTAAAAACATATCAGAGGGAGACTTTGTACAAAAGTCGTTTGGTTGGCTCTGTCCCATTTGTGTTTTTACCGTGAAGCAGTTATGTTTGCAGGTTTGAAGGGTGGGATATAGCAGTGAATTTACAGGGTACAGAGGAATAACACCTGAGTTCTCAGGAATGGCAACCCATGGGGGGTATCATGGGCGAAACAGTCTCTGTTATGTCCATGGTACTGCTCATGTCTATAGGCGACGGTTACCACTTTCCATCATGCGGGTCGTCGACTTGTTTGCCAATCTAAGTTGCATAAAAAAAAAACAGTTAATATTAAATTTAAATGAGCCACGAAATACACTTTATCAATTTCCTTGAAATAATTAAGTTTTTAAGTTAAATTTAAGGTTTACTTACCTCCAAACGATGGGAAGCAAATGGCAGAGCCGACCTGCAAATAAAATCAGTCGGTTCATCGTAAGAACACACGCAGGCGAATTGAAAACATACTCTTGGCTTTTCATAAAAAAAAATAACAGGTTAAAAACATCAAAACGAATACATTTTATAGGCATAGGTAATATTGGTACTGATCCAATATCTATATACTGGAATCCTTTGGATATTTCGGTCCAATACCGTCCGGACCTGTCAGGTTCGTACTGATCAAATTTAATATATAAAATTCTCGTGTCACGGTGTTTGTTACCAAACTCCTCCGAAACGGCTTTACCGATTTTCATGAAATTTTGTATGCATATTCAGTAGGTCTGAGAATCGGCCAACATCTATTTTTCATACCCCGGAATGATAGGGGTGACCCATCCCTAAATATTTTTTTTTAATTTTTTTGATATTTTTTTTTATTTTAATTTTATTATGATTTAGCATTGAAAAATACATACAAATTTAAATTTTCACGCTTTTACGATCAACCTCTGTTGTTTAATCGCAACAAATATATGTATATATATATATATATATATATATATATATATATATATATATATATATATATATATATATATATATATATATATATTAATGTCGATCAGATTTTTGTCACATAAAATATAATAAAGATATATTGACTGTTTGACTGTTAGCCTCAATTTCTGAACAGCCAATCAGCTGAGACCGTGCGAAATGGAGTAACATCATAAGAGAGGCAATAGACACCTTTCAAGGACCTTCAGATTACTGAAGGTCCTTGAAAGGTGTCTATTCTACTTCATTAGAAGTGGAGGAAGAGAGAGAGAGAGCCTCAATTTTTTTCTTTTAAAAGTGTCTACAGAGACCCAAGATGGTAGAACGCCGCACATCCAGATGGTCGGGGCTAAGCTTTAGTTCGTAGCGGGTTGTACGGTGACCAAATTCAGTATCTGGTATTAATTCGAATAATTCCTCTGAACGCTCCCCATGATATGCGCAATAAAAGATGCAGAGACAACGTCTTTACGCAATGCCAGGGGATTGAGTAACATTCCTAACAATCCCTTCTTTTCCCTCAATTTAAGTATTATAATACATGTAGAATACTGTTAGAATACACAATTTAACGGCTATTAGTGAAACCCTTTTGTGATCATCAATTCAGCCGCTAATTGTCCACTGTTGAACATAGGCTTCCCATAAAGCGAATTTTGCCAGTAGCTGCAAAGCTTTGCAGGCGAGTTGGCAGCCGCAAATAGAATTTTGGTGATATTTTAAGAGGAACGTTGCTGTCCATCCCTCGACCGTTCCCTTAGCCGCCTCTTACGACACCCATGGGAAAGAAAGGAGTGGCCCAATCTATACCGGGAACACACGGCAATTTGTGATATTATCACCATCATCATCATACCAGCCTTTAACTGTCCACTGCTGAACATAAGCCTTCTCCTTGGGAGGCTCGGTCAGTAGTTACCACGTTTGGCGGGCGAATTAGCAACCGCAGTTACGTTTTCGAGATTATTTAAAAGGAACGCTGCTGTCCATCGCTCGCCCTCTCTTAGTCGCCTCTTACCCATAGGTAAGGTACGGGTGGCCTAGTCAACGCCGGGACCACATAGTCATTGTTAATATTGTTTGTATTAAATTGAAAATAATAATAATAATAATAAAGAAGCAATGGAAAATGCACACCACCTACATAATACCCATAGTACTATCATTTACAGCAGCCTTTCCCAAAGTGGACAATAACGCCCCCTTGTGGGCGCTGCAGGCCTAAAGGGAGCGGTAAGAGATCCAGAAAAAAATGGAGGCATTGTATAGAGACTTGGGGGGTGATTTGTTGATTTTGAAGTAATAGTGGTTTTTAATTAGGGGGAAAAATGAGGGCGCTGAAAAATAATTTATTGTCAAACAGGGCAGTAGACAAAATAAGTTTGGAAACTCCTGGTCTACAGGAATCGTACTTAAAAAATCTTGGCAAACATTTAGGTATTTCACTTTCTTACCTTCCCACACAATAGATTTGCTACAGAAAGCGGTCATGCTCAATACTTAGTAAATTCCTTATCATTGGCATCGTCCTCATATATTGTTTAATTTATTTGCAATATTTTTAATAACTTTGCGGCACTACACTTTCATAATTCTACAACACACACACACACACACACACACACACACACATATAAATATATATCGTCCCTGTAAATTATTCATTACGGGGATATATGGAGACGCCTACCCTCTGGTGTGAGTGCCGCGCCACAAGAGTGTGTGTGACTTTGACGCGGGAACAAACATTCACCTCCACGGCAATTTTTGAAAATATTAACAATCTTCGGTTATTGGGGGTGAGTTTAGGTTATTATTTATTATTTTTCATGTTTATATATGCATACACATAAATCGAGGAAAAATAGACAACGATAACACGAATTACGGGAGCCCTGAACCAGTACCTAAGTGTGAGACGAAGTAGGCGATGAAAGTCAATATTCCACCGAAATTCCTGTATATAACATATATATTTATTATTCAATATGATGCCTACGGCCAGTTTCTATCATCGTACGGCTCGCCATCGACAGAGAGTTCACCCTCATACCCTACAGCCTAAATGGTCGCGTACAACGCGGTTTCAGAGATGTTTCCTCCCACGAACACTCAGGTTATAAAATAAGCTCCCTGTCGAGGTTTTCCCAAGAGACTACAGCGTGGGCTTTTACAAAAATGGGATAAAGAGGTTTCTTCAGAGTCAGCAACGCGCGCGTAATACCTCTGGTATCTGGCGTTCATAGGCTACGGTAACCGCTTACCATCAGATGGGCCGTATGTTTGTTTGCCACCTTTAGAGTCAACCATGCTTGGCTAAGGCCCGCATGGCTGAACACTTTACCCACCTAAAAAGGGAAATGTAAAATACAATATATATTGAAATAATAATAAAATTATTACATTACCAAAGCGAGGAGCACAGCGAACCTCATATTGGCGGTCTCGGTGAAGCTCTTGTGAATATTTTCACACTTATGCAAATGGTTCCACCACGCACCCTTAATATAGTGTACGCCAACAATATGTATGACGCAGTTACCGTATATGCTGTTTGTCAAAATTAATTAATAATGTTTTCGACGTTAAAGCAAATAATTTATTGAAAGTCATCTTGCGTAATTCTAATAAACAAGTAGCAATCATTTTGCTAATATAAAATTAAAAGTAAGTCTATCCGATGATGATTTAGTATTCTTTGGAATCAACTTCCAGCAGCAGTATTTCCGAACCGATACGACAACATAACCTTCAAGAAAAAAATATATATTCCTTTTTAAAAGGCCGGCAGCACACTTGCAATGCCGCTGGTGTTGTGGGTGATCATGGGCGGCGGTAGTCACTTACCATCAGGTGAGCCGCATGCTCGTTTGCCCCCTGTGTTGTAAAAAAAAAAAAGAAATCAATATTGATTGGGCTAATTTATCATCATTACAGTTAATTGTCCACTGCTGAACTGCCTTTAGGGACAGTAGGGACTGGAGGAGTGAGGGAGTTGACAGTAAGCCACGCTTGGTAGTTTGGCAATCGCAGTAAAGCTTTGGTGGTCTTTAAACAGGGACGCTGTTCATTCTCTATGTTGAGCAGTGGACAGTTAAAGGCTGATATAATGATGATGTAATCATCATCATCATCTCAGCCATTATGTGTTCACTGCTCAACATTGACCTCCCCCATAGAATGCCATAAGGAACGGACCTGAGCCAACTCCTCGCAATGTGTTTGAGGTCGTCACTCCATATAGTAGCGTCATCGACCGTAAGACCAGAGGGAGACTTTGTACAAAAATCGATTGCTTGGGTACCTCTGTCCCATTCGTGTTTCAACCGTAAAGCAGTTGTGTTTGCATGGCTGTGTTTCGATTTGAAGGGTGGGATATGGCGTGAATTTACAGGGTACAGAGGAATAACACCTGAATCCTCAGGAATGGCAACGCATGGGGGGTATCATGGGCGAAACAGTATGTGTGTGTACTGTTATGTCCATGGTACTGCTCATGTCTACAGGCGACGGTTACCACTTTCCATCAGGTGGGCCGTCAGCTTGTTTGCCATTCTAAGTTGTATAAAAAAAACATAATACATGTCGCTTAATTAAATAATGTATTTATTATATCTGCCTTAATCTGTCCACTGCTGAACATAAGCCTCCCCTTGGCAACCGCAGTTATGCTTTAGAGATGTTTTAAGAGGGACGCTGCTGCCTATCTTACGCCCTCCCTTAATCGCCTCTTACGGGAACCGCCCACGGCAAAGGAATGGGTGGCCTATTCTATGCCGGGACCATACTGCATTTTAAAGATATTAAATGTGTTAAAATATCGTTCCTTTAGACTTTTATGCCAGAATTTATGACGAACGAACGAAATATTTCATGGAAGTTCCATTTACTGGACTGTTATGAATAAAAACACGAAATTGAGTCTGAAAATTCGGAATTTCATTTTATGGTAGATCCCCTGAGATATAGCGCTATGACAGACGGACGGACGGACAAAATATAGTATAATAAAAAAAATAAAGGTTCTTTTAAATTTTTAAATACTGTTTTTGTAGAAAAAAGTATACTTCTTTTATTTATGGTATTACATATATTGAGTTAACCTAATTACGTATTTCATGTCTGGGCAAAGATAAATAAATGAAAAGTTTGAGAAAATTGTCCAGAAATAGTCAATATATGTTTCTAATTCTATCTAATCTAATGTACCTACAATAATAAACATACGTATTGAACAAGCTGACACAATGCTCTAACGTAATTGAGTACGTTTGTTTGTTTATATAGGCTTTTCTATTTATATTTTATTATATAGGTAGTGTAACCACAGAAGTGCTTCGAGAAATATGGGTCAAACCTTTTCATACGGGGGGAAAGGGATTGTTAGTAATGGAGACTAAGAATCCCATTGCTATATACCTAACCAGGTCGACCTCTTCGCGGTTCCCCCTGGTAACTATCATGGTTAATTCCTGATGAATTCACCATGATGGGCTAATTGTCCTGTTTTCATTCTCATCATGATGTGATCCCTTCACTGGTGCTCCGCCAGCGTATCCCGTTAGCGCAGGCGGGGTAACCATTCCATTTTCACCCATCAAAAAAAAACGTTTGCATACGATTTTGCTTTTTGATTTTTGATAAATAGTCATGAGTATAAAACTTATAACTTGTATATTTATTTTGTCTTATAAATTATGCATCTTTTTAATGCGTAAACACTCATTTTATTTGTTAAATAATACGTCAAGATACATTCTATGCGTAAATATATAGAACACTGATAAAAAGACTCGGTTAATTTGACAATTGGCTGACAAAAAATTGACTCGTTTTTGAGGCTCGATGCTCTATCTATATAATCTAAGATTTGATACTAATAACTGTTTTTTTTTATACAACTTAGAATGGCAAACAAGCTGACGGCCCACCTGATGGAAAGTGGTAACCGTCGCATATAGACATGAGCAGTACCATGCACATAACAGAGTATACTGTTTCGTCCATGATACTCCCATGCGTTGCCATTCCTGAGGACTCAGGTGTTATTCCTCTGTACCCAGTAAATTCACGCCATATCCCACCCTTCAAACCGAAACACAGCTTTGCAAATAGAGCTGCTCACGGTAGTAAATTAAAGTTATAGTTAATCCAAAATTCAAATTTTTAAACAATTTTACCTAATTTTTAACATTCACGTTATTTAAACATATTTTAACAGTAGTAACAAAGTAACATAAAGGAGCATGCTCAAGGAGTAGAACTCTCTCCCTGTTCATGTTTTCCCATCAAATTTAATCTGCACCAATTAAAGCCAAATGTGAATAGGCTATTCGTGAATTCGCGAACTCCATCTTAGACCATATCATCTCTTTCCATCAGGTGAGATCGTGGTCAATCTTGGGACCCGAAAATAGTAATCATCATTCACTGCTGAACCAAGGTATCTTCTTATTGGAGGTTATGACAGTAGCTGCCACGCTTAACAGGCGAATTGGCCACGTCAGTTAGGCTTTGATGATGTTTAAAGAGAGACACTGCTCCCTTTCCCTTGACCATTAAGTTTCCTTAGACCCCTCGCGTGCATGCGTGCGAGCGTGCATGCGTGCGTGCGTGCATGTGTGTGTGTGCACACACATGTGTGGAGACTAAAAAATCCGAAATAAAAATGTATGTTATTATTATTACCTGCAATCGCGTCATGTTAAGTAGTATAGTTAAAAACTTTCTCTCTTCTTATTTAACAGTTTCCACTTGTCTGGGCCCCTAATTCATGCACTCTCTTCCAGCCAGCTTTATCCTAGGCCATATCTTCGACCTCTTCATACGATATGACACCTAGTGTCTCCTTTATTTGTCCCATGTCGTTATTTCTCGATCTTCCCCTTCCTCTTCTGCTTTACTTTTCCTTCTAGTGCGTAAGTATGCTCTTTAAAAAGCTTGATTTACATTTATAAATTGTTGCATCCGTCACCTTTTTCATATAAAAAATACAATAAAGAGGTAATTTTATATCACATATGACTCTATTTAATTATTGTTACAGTTGGTTAAACTCCAACACAAAATTATAATTTTTGTACATGTCAAATTATTTACAAAATTTGGCATTAATAATTAATTATAAGTGATTAAGTTTACACTTTACATTTAAATAATACAATGTTAATTCGATACTGTATAATACAATGGAATACGATAATCATTTATAGTGCAGTGTCCAATACAATTACAAACTAAATATCAATATATCTATATATATAAAAATTAATGCCACTTTTCGTTGTAATTTTATAACTCAAGAACGGGCTCACCTATCCAAACCAAATGTTTAGACTTTGTTCGGACCATTTAGTAGATGGTTTATGTGAAGTTTGCACAAAAACGGTCGAGCGGTTCTTCATTTATTACATTTTTTGTAACAAATGAATTCAATCAATAGCAGATCATTTTGTTAATGGGGATTTTTGTGTCAAATTTAAACTTTTTTTAAGATTGGGATTGTGCTGTCAAATTGAAACTTTTTTCAGTGTTGACAGTACAAGCATGTTGTTATGTCATTCATGCGGTCATTTCATTTTGGACGTGCTTCGATTAAAGCAAGTTGTCGACGATAATTAAAGCTTTGTGTTTATATTTTTAAACATATTGTTCAAATCGGCTATTCCATTCAATAGAAATTCATTCCACCTAATGGAAAATGGTAACCGTCGCCTATAGACATGAGCAGTATCATGGGCATAATAGAATATACTGTTTCGCCCATGATACCCCCCCATGCGTTGCCATTCCTGAGGACTCAGGTGTTATTCCTCTGAACCATGTAAATTCACTGCCATATCCCACCCTTCAAACCGAAACACAGCCATGCAAACACAACTGCTTCACGGTAGAAACACGAATGGAACAGAGGTGTAAACTACTTTTGTACAAAGTCTCCCTCTGGTACCCCTCGCATGTCACCTATCTTTCGAAAAGAGATAAATAATTTTAAACGAGTATAATTTTTCTCCTTATCCTTAACGTCACTATATTTACCACCCTTTTACAAACAATAATGGTTAAGGGTAATGGCTATAGTTCATATGTACCACCGAAATCCGATGCAGACGAAACTTGCGTTCTGTTAGCTGTTTCCGTAGCTTCCTGCAAGTCGTGAATGGTTGATCGACTGAACGACTGATCACTTGACAGATCCACGGATTCATCGACTAATCGAACGACTTATCGATCGACTGATCAATCGACTGATCGCTTGACTGATCCGTTGATTCATCGACTAATCGAACGACTTATCGATCGACTGATCGGTCGACTGATCGTTTGACTGGTTCACTGATTCATCGACTAATCGATCAACTGGTCTATCGACTGATCAATCGACTGATTACATGACTGATCCACTGATTCATCGACTAATCGATCGACTGATCAATCGACTGATTACATGACTGATCCACTGATTCATCGATTAATCGATCGACTGATCATTAGACTGATCTACTAATTCATCGACTAATCGATCGACTCATCGATCGACTGATTGATCGATTGTTTGTTTGCTTACCCGCCTGCTTACTCGTTCGTTTGTAATAATAGGCTTTTTTTAAATTGTTTTAATTCAAAACATAACATAATTTACTGTTTACGCCACATATCTAGATCAAATTTTTAGATTCAGGTCAATTAATTATAATTAATAATAATATTTAATTGTTTTCTAATTATTAATAATAATTATTAATTAATGAATTTTAATGTAATAATCTCAGTTTAGTTCAGTTTAACTGTTTCTTAAAATTCGTGTGATATAAATTCAAACTTACAGTTCCAAAGTATCGTTTAGAATTGGCATTAAATTTTATAAGATACCGAAGGATATTTTGGATCTACCTTTTAATAAGTTTAAAACTGTTATTTAAAACACTTATTGAACAAAGCCTAATACACACTAAACAATTGCTTGAATGACTTGCAGAGGCTTGAATTGATATGTGCATGGTGTTAGTCCATCATGCACGGGCTTTTAACGACCATGTAATTTTAGACATAGTACGTTTAAATAAATACACATAATGTTAACAGAGATTTAAAAGAGTAACTGTTGAATTTCTGGCGGGCTCTTCTCAACAGATAACAACCTTCCGAGCCCTGAAGTAGATTAAAAAAAAACTATATAAAAGTGCTTGTAAACAAGTCGACATAAATAAAGATGATTTAATATAGAATTTAAAATAAAAATTTATTTATTTTAAAATATAAAATGTATTTCAGTACAGTTTGAAATAAAAAATTTTCTTGCAAGACATAAATATTTATACATAAAAATGTGAATTTAAAAACGTAAAAAAAAATCTTCAACTGGGAGCCTCAGTCAGATTTGCCTCTGATGGGCTTAATCCATCATTGATTTTGACCTAAAAGTATTATTAGAGAATCAGCTAGATTTGAGTTATTTTGTGATACTGGTTGAGCCTACCAATTATTCAGATGTGATTTAAATGATTTTTTCAATTAATTCACATTTTTAGTAAAGCGATTTCCTTCATTTTTCACGGGCCCTGATATTCTGAGTTTGTTAGAACCAATATTAGAAATGTGATTTGAAAACAGGCTCAAATATTCCAAGTTATTACTAAAGTATCAATATTATGTATGTAGCTTGGAAGGATAATCAGCTAATGGTAAATTTAATAGTAGATACATAAATAGGATGGTAAGTGGTAACTAAATATCTAAGCTTTGTGCAAAATTAAGTAGTATTTAAATACCTAACTATTAAAATTGATACACTATTGCATTAAGTCCGCCATTTTTACCAAATATTTTTTTTTTATAATAGGTTCAGTAAAGAATATATATGTAAATACGATTACTAATATTAATAAAGGAAATAATGAAAATGAAAAATTAATATGAATTGCACATTTATTGAGAGAAATTGAAAAAAAAATATGAAACAAAAGAAGCACTTAATCTATACAAATAGATAAAAAAAAATATGGAAACAAAGAGAAAATTAACAGTATATAACTAGTATATATTACATTCAAAGTACCTTATTACTTGCCAATTTCAAATTGAAACAGGTCCCAAATTCATTACAATATTACACAACTCCAATTATTTTTACATCATTTTTTTACTTTTCGACTCCAAACTGGATAAAGATCGACGCTGAGTCAGATCATCGCTTGACGGTAAAACGGCACAAGTCAGTCTCCTGCTTCATAAAATTATTGTTTTTACATTGACTAGACAAATTGAGGTTTCTTTTAGTGTAACAAAAATTAACAATAATCGAAGTAGGAAGCATTTCTTGAGCCGATGATAATGACATCATCAAACCCATCAAAAGCAGTCTGTCGAGAATGCTAAAGTTCTCGATAGACTTCTTTTAGAGTCTACTACTTTTAGTATAAAAATTATTCGAATCGGAATTTTCTTGCTAGAACTGCTTTAATTATTATAGGTAACATTGTTAGAATTGCCATTTTAGATTGAACCTGAGATTGAACCGCCAAAGCTAGCGCCCAAACCACCATTTAAGCTTGCACCACCTGAGCTACCTGAACTACTACTGGATCCGCCACTTGAGAGTGACCCAATTAAACCACCTGACCCACGGACGGACGATCCATTAGAGTTTGAACCGGATAAACTATTTGAGCTACTGCCGGACAAGCCACTTGACAGTGAACCGGTTAAGCTGCTTGAACCTCTGATGCCATTCGAGAGTGAACCAGTTAAGCTATTTAAGCTACTGCTAGCAATGCCAGATGAGTTTGAACCGCTTGAGCTATTTGAGCTGCTGCTGGAATTGTCACTGGAGTTTGAACCACTTGAGCTATTGGAACTGCTGCTGGAATTGTTGCTGGAGTTTGAACTACTTGCGTTGTTGGAACTGCTGCTAGAATTGTCACTGAAGTTCAAACTGCTTGCGTTATTTGAGCTACTGCTGGAACCATCGTATGAGTTAGAACTGCTTGCGTTATTTGAACTACTGTTGGAATTGCCGCTGGAGTTTGAACTGCTTGCATTGTTTGAACTGCTTGCATTGTTTGAACTGCTTGCATTGTTTGAACTGCTTGCGTTGTTTGAACTGCTTGCGTTGTTTGAACTGCTTGCGTTGTTTGAACTGCTTGCGTTGTTTGAACTATTGCTAGAACTTCTACTAGCGTTTGAACTGCTTGCGTTATTTAAACTACTGCTGGAGCCATTGTATGAGTTTGAACTGCTTGCGTTATTTGAACTACTGCTGGAATTGCCGCTGGAGTTTGAACTGCTTGCGTTATTTGAACTACTGCTGGAGCCATCGTATGAGTTTGAACTGCTTGCGTTATCTGAACTACTACTGGAATTGTCGCTGGAGTTTGAACTGCTTGCATTATTTAAACTACTGCTGAATCTTCTGCTGGAGTTAGAACTGCTTGCGTTATTTAAACTATTGCTGGAACTTTCGTTAGAGTTTGAACTGCTTGCATTATTTAAACTACTGCTGGAGCCATCGTATGAGTTTGAACTGCTTGCGTTATCTAAACTACTGCTGGAACTTCCACTAGTGTTTGAACTGCTTGCATTATTTAAACTACTGCTGGAGCCATCGTATGAGTTTGAACTGCTTGCGTTATCTGAACTACTACTGGAATTTCCGCTAGAGTTTGAACTGCTTGCGTTATTTGAACTACTACTGGAATTTCCGCTGGAGTTTGAACTGCTTGCGTTGTTTGAGTTACTGCTGGAACTTCCGTTAGAGTTTAAACCGCTTGCGTTATTTAAACTACTGCTGGAGCTATCGTATGAGTTTGAACTGCTTGCGTTATTTGAATTACTGCTGGAACTACCGCTGGAATTATAACTGCTTGCGTTATTTAAACTACTGATGGAATTTTCGCTGGAGTTTGAACTGCTTGCATTATTTGAACTACTACTGGAATTTCCGCTGGAGTTTGAACTGCTTGCGTTGTTTGAACTACTGCTAGAACTTCTACTAGCGTTAGAACTGCTTGCGTTGTTTGAGCTACTGCTAGAACTTCCGTTAGAGTTTAAACTGCTTGCATTATTTAAACTACTGCTGGAGCCATCGTATGAGTTTGAACTGCTTGCGTTATCTGAACTACTACTGGAATTTCCGCTGGAGTTTGAACTGCTTGCGTTGTTGGAGCTACTGCTAGAACTTCCGTTAGAGTTTAAACTGCTTGCGTTATTTAAACTACTGCTGGAGCCATCGTATGAGTTTGAACTGCTTGCGTTATTTGAATTACTGCTGGAACTACCGTTGGAATTTGAGCTGCTTGCGGTATTTGAACTACTGCTGGAATTTTCGCTGGAGTTTGAACTGCTTGCATTGTTTGAACTGCTGCTGGAACCGTCGTATGAGTTTGAACCGCTTAAGCTGTTTGAACTACTGATGGAATTTCCGTTTGAGTTTACACTGCTGCTGGAATTGTCGCTAGAGTTTGAGCTACTTGCATTATCTGAACTACTGCTGGAACTTCCGCTAGAGTTTAAACTGCTTGCATTATTTGAATTACTGCTGGAACTTCCGCTGGAGTTTGAATTGCTTGCGTTATTTAAACTACTGCTGGAACCATCGTATGAGTTAGAACTGCTTGCGTTGTTTAAACTACTGCTAGAACTTCCGTTAGAGTTTAAACTGCTTGCGTTATTTAAACTACTGCTGGTATTGCCGCTGGAGTTTGAACTGCTGCTGGAATTGTCGCTAGAGTTTGAGCTACTTGCATTATCTGAACTACTGCTGGAACTTCCGCTAGAGTTTGAACTACTTGCATTATTTAAACTACTGCTGGAACTTCTGCTGGAGTTGGAACTGCTTGCGTTGTTTAAACTACTGCTGGAACTTCCGTTAGAGTTTGACCTGCTTGCGTTGTTTACACTACTGCTAGAACTTCCGTTAGAGTTTGAACTGCTTACGTTATTTAAACTACTGCTGGAGCCATCGTATGAGTTTGAGCTGCTTGCGTTATTTAAACTACTGCTGGAATTTCCGCTGGAGTTAGAACTGCTTGCGTTGTTTGAGCTACTGCTAGAACTTCCGTTAGAGTTTGAACTGCTTGCGTTATTTAAACTACTGCTGGAGCCATCGTATGAGTTTGAACTGCTTGCGTTATTTAAACTACTGCTGGAATTTCCGCTGGAGTTAGAACTGCTTGCGTTGTTTACACTACTGCTAGAACTTCCGTTAGAGTTTGAACTGCTTGCATTATTTAAACTACTGCTGGAGCCATCGTATGAGTTTGAGCTGTTTGCGTTATTTGAACTACTGCTGGAATTTCCGCTGGAGTTAGAACTGCTTGCGTTGTTTGAGCTACTGCTAGAACTTCCGTTAGAGTTTGAACTGCTTACGTTATTTAAACTACTGTTGGAGCCATCGTATGAGTTTGAACCGCTTAAGCTGTTTGAACTACTGATGGAATTTCCGCTGGAGTTTACACTAGAGTCGCTAGAGTTTGCGCTACTTGCATTATCTGAACTACTGCTGGAACTTCCGCTAGAGTTTGAACTGCTTGCATTATTTAAACTACTGCTGGAACTTCTTCTGGAGTTAGAACTGCTTGCGTTGTTTAAACTACTGCTGGAACTTCCGATAGAGTTTGAACTGCTTGCGTTGTTTACACTACTGCTAGAACTTCCGTTAGAGTTTGAACTGCTTGCATTATTTAAACTACTGCTGGAGCCATCGTATGAGTTTGAGCTGCTTGCGTTATTTGAACTACTGCTGGAATTTCCGCTGGAGTTAGAACTGCTTGCGTTGTTTGAGCTACTGCTAGAACTTCCGTTAGAGTTTGAACTGCTTACGTTATTTAAACTACTGTTGGAGCCATCGTATGAGTTTGAACCGCTTAAGCTGTTTGAACTACTGATGGAATTTCCGCTGGAGTTTACACTAGAGTCGCTAGAGTTTGCGCTACTTGCATTATCTGAACTACTGCTGGAACTTCCGCTAGAGTTTGAACTGCTTGCATTATTTAATCTACTGCTGGAACTTCTTCTGGAGTTAGAACTGCTTGCGTTGTTTAAACTACTGCTGGAATTTCCGCTGGTGTTAGAACTGCTTGCGTTGTTTGAGCTACTGCTAGAACTTCCGATAGAGTTTGAACTGCTTGCGTTATTTAAACTACTGCTGGAGCCATCGTATGAGTTTGAACTGCTTGCGTTATTTGAACTACTGCTAGCATTTCCGCTGGAGTTTGAGCTGCTTGCGTTGTTTGAACTAATGCTGGAACTTCCGCTATTGTTTGAACTGCTTGCGTTGTTTGCACTACTGCTAGAACCATCGTATGAGTTTGACTCACTTGAGCTATTCGAAATATTGCTGGAGTTTGAACCAGTTAAGCTGTTTGCGCTACTACTGGAATTTCTGCTGGAGCTTGAACCGGTTGAGCTATTTACACTACTGCTGGATCCTCTGCTTGAACTTGAGCCAGTTGAGCTGTTTGCACTGCTACTGGAATTTCTGTTGGCGCTCGAGCCAGTTAAGCTATTTGAACTGCTGCTGGAATTTCTGCTGGAACTTGAACCAGTTAAGCTGTTTGCACTACTGCTGGAACCTCTGCTAGAGCTTGAACCAGTTGAGCTATTTGCACTACTGCTAGAACCTCTGCTGGAGTTTGAACCCGTTAAGCTGTTTGCACTACTACTAGAATTTCTGCTGGCGCTCGAACCAGTTAAGCTATTTGAACTGCTGCTGGAATTTCTGCTGGAACTTGAACCAGTTGAGCTATTTGCACTACTGCTGGAACCTCTGCTAGAGCTTGAACCAGTTAAGCTATTTGAACTGCTGCTAGAATTTCTGCTGGAACTTGAACCAGTTGAGCTGTTTGCACTACTGCTGGAATTTCTGCTGGCGCTTGAACCAGTTGCGCTATTTGAAGCGCTACTACCGCTATTTGCGCTTGAATCGCTGCTGGAACCAACGTTAGAGACACCGCTGACATTGGAGCCCGTGCTGCTCAAGCCACTTGAGACACCGATTCCTGCAATGTATTTTATTCCGTCATCATCATCACTTTCTTGCTCTTTAATGAATTAATAAGGATAATTAATAATAATAAGTATCAATATTTAATAGATATTATATTGAAGTTAATTTAGTCTAAATGAATAGTAAATGACCAAAATTAAAATGTTCTGCGAATGAATATCCATTATTCGCCAGATTTTATCAATTATAATATATTTTCTAATTTATTTACAGTTTTATAAAATAATGTTGGTTTACAATTAAACATAGACTCAACAAACCAGTCTCATGATGTTATTTATATTAGATATGTTCTATTAGTGTTGCACATGATAAATTTAATTGTGAAAACTCGAAAGGTCCTAAAACTGACTGATTAATTACCAATTTTAAAATTAACAATCAGTGACATACATTATTGGGAATGTTTCCTGAGACAGATTTGGTATAAAGGTAGGAATAAACTTAACCTGCTCCAGCCGCGCCCGACACACCAGATGAAAGTCCGCTTCCACCTGCGCCTGTTGCCACGTCAGCACCTGCATTTACTGCAGAGTCTACGGCTCCAGCACCCGATTGAGATCCGATTGTAGCTGCATTTTCAGCTCCGTTGGCAGCTGCAGATGCGTCAGATGATACAGTATTGCTTGCAATATTAGCCGCTCTTGACGCTCCTGATGCACCAATAGATGCAGCATCAGTGGCAGCGCCGACAAAGTTACCACTGGCAACATCGGATGCAGCTTGACTTGCGGCACCGATTCCAGCTTCAATTCCAGTTGAGACTAAGCCAGCACCTCCTAGTGCAGATGATAATCCAATATTGCCAGCGGCGCCAGCTCCTGCTTGGATTGCACCTCCGAATCCATTTGCACCTATACCTGCAGCTCCCTCAATTCCTCCAGCTGCGCCCAAGCCAATGTCTGTTGACGAAACGAAATTATTTGTAGATTAAGTGCAAACATTCATTGGATCAGGTACTGACTACAAACACTAGACCACTACTGACATATCATAAATTAATTTCAAATCAATACTGAAATAGTCATTTTTTTAATGGATGACAATGCAATGGTATTCCGCCTGCGCTTACGGTATACGCTAACGGGGCACCAGTGAGGGATGATAGGTGAGATGAACAGGCTTTAGCCCATCGTGATGAATACACCAAGAATTCAGCACGATGATTTCCAGGGGTACCACATGGAGGTAGACATGACAAGGTACATTGCAAGCAATAAGACTGGTAGTTAGTGGCCAGTTAAAAGATGATATGATGATGATGAGACATCTATACCAGAGGGAAACTTTGTACAAAAGTCGATTGCTTGGGTACCTCTGTTCCATTCGTGTTTCTACCGTGAAGCAGTTGTGTTTGTATGGCTGTGTTTCGGTTTGAAGGGTGGGATATGGCGTGAATTTACTGGGTACAGAGGAATAACACTTGAGTCCTCAGGAATGGCAACGCATGGGGGATATCATGGACGAAACAGTATACTCTGTTATGTCCATGGTACTACTCATGTCTATAGGCGACGGTTACCACTTTCCATCAGATGGGCCGTCAGCTTGTTAGCCATTCTAAGTTGTATAAAGAAAAAAAATCTATAAAATTGTAATCAGATACTTACTTCCAAATGATGGGAAGCAAACAGCTGAGCCGACCTGCAAACAAAATCAGTCAATTGTAATGAAGCCTATAATAATTTTACCAATATGATATGGTTTCATGATGACTTAATTTAGAATGGCAAACAAGCTGACTGCCTATCTGATGAAAAATGGTAACCTTTATCTATAGACATGAACAGTACCATGGGCATTACCAAGATTTACCATAATATCCTTCATATGTTGCCAATCCTGGGGATTTACTGGATACAGAGAAATAACATCTGAGTCCTCAGTAATGGCAACGTATGGGGGGTATCATGGGAGAAACAGTATACTCTGTTATATCCATGACATTGTTTATATCTATAGGTGACGGTTACCACTTTCCATCAGATGGACCGTCAGCTTGTTTGCCATTCTAAATTACATAAAAAATTAAAACTAAGGTGTGATGCCTTGGTACCCTGTAATTTCACTGTCATATCTTCATCATATCTGCAAACTGAAAGCTGCTTTATAGCAAGAACATGAATAGGACAGTGTTATTTTTATAATGGATGAAAGTGAGATGATAACCCTGCCTACGCCATCGGTATACGCTAGCGTGATACTAATAAAAGATAATAAGAAAGAATGAGAGCAGGCCAGTCGGTTTATCGTGACAAACTCAACAAGATGAATCAAGGGAAAGACGTGGGGAACGACCTAAGAGGGTATATTGCTAGCAATGAGACTTTAACCTCCATTACTGGAATTGGGGACCGGTATATCTCGAATGGGGGACCGGTAGACAGCAGAGTTCGCCAGTTCGGAGGCCGACCACATACTCATTTGTTGCAGTATCAGGCCGTTCATTTACCTTCCTCATGCTCTCAAATATTGCGTCTAAATTGCGCCCACCATGTACCCTCTTGTGTAGGTATTCCGTCACCCGTATCTAATAATGCGGACAGGATGCCTTAAATACTGTACCGCAAACCATAAAAAAAACCTCCATTACTACCAATCCCTTTTTCCCCAGTAAAACAGACAACAATTGTGCAAACACTCGCATATTCGCTTTTCATTTGGGATCGATTCTCCCCGTCATCCTTCATTAGGCATCAGAGACGTATTTAAAGAGGAACCCCGGTGATGCTGGGGGAAGGGATTATTAGTAATGCAAACTATCTATCAGACTGACCTCCATGTGATCCTCTCTGAAAACTATGGCGTTGAATTTCAGATGTATTAATCACGATGGGTAACTGACCTTTTTTTTTATTTTTAACGTCTGGAAAATGCTTTATGCAGACCCATACACCTTGTGGGAGGTGAATGATTACTGTGGGAATCCCCCCGTAAGGTGGGGGTGTACCCACCAAAAACCAGACAAAGTAAAATAAAAAAAAAATACCCTCGAGGTGCCATATGTCGGAGACATGGGTTCGCTTTCGCACTCACCACATCTCCGACGAAATGGATAACTGACCTGTAATTTCATTCTCCCCTATCAATTCTCACTGAAGTATACCATTAGCGCAGGCGAGGTTACCATTTCATTATCATCCATTAAAAAAAAATGCCGCATGATCTCGGCATAGAATGGGCCACCCTTTCCTTCCCCGCGAGTCTCGTAAGAGGCAACTAAGGGAGCTGAATGGTCAACGGATGGGCAGCAACGTCCAATGCCAATTGTGGCAACTACTGGCAAAACCCCTTCTAATGGGAGAGACCTATATTCAGCAGTGGAGACATGACTATTATGATATGATAATGCCAATATAGAGGGAAAGGGATTGTTAGTAATGGGGTCAAATAGCCCCATTACTAGCGATATACCCTGTCAGGTCGAACTCCACGTGTTTCTCCCTGGAAACCATCGTGGTTATTCTAGTTGAATTCGTCAGTATGGGCTAACTGACCTTCATCCTCACCTGTCATCTTCCACTGGTACGTCGCCAGCGTACACCGATAGCGCAAACGGGGTTACCATTTCATTATCAGCCATTTAAACAAAAATAGGATGACATAAATGCCAATGTTAAATACTTCTATCCTGGATTGTAAAAACAAAGTCTCCCTCTGGTGATCAAATTCTAATCATAGGAAATGATGATGAAAATTATAAAATTATACATTACCAGCGCCAGAAGCAGAGCTAACGACCGCATTATGGCAAATTTGGTGAATCTCTTGCGGATGTCTCCAAACTTATGGTGATCTCTCACCTTGTACCCTTAATATACCAACGGAAACAATATGTATGACGCATTTAACATTCTGTTTGTTCGTGACAAATTATATTAATAATAGTTCGTACATAAATGTAAATAGGCTTCTGAAAGCTATAATATGTGCCTTAAATAAACAAATAGGCTTATAATTAGTATCTATATAAAACTAAAGCCTGTCTTTACGTTGATACCGTAAAATCTATACTTATAATAAATCTGTAGAGAGGTCAATTCTGTATATGAAATATATTTCCAAAATAATTATCAGGGGTAATTAGTGATCGATACTGATGCCAAAAATGCAATCACTAAAATTTTTGTCTGTCTGTCTGTATGTTCGTTATAGAAACAAAAACTTGATACAATTATTCTTCATACTCCTGGGCAGGTTATAGTATACTTTTCATCACGCTACGATCAATAGGAGCAGAGCAATGAAGGAAAATGTAAAAACGGCAGAAGTTACTCCATTTTTAAGCTTCCGTCGCGTGTGCAGCCCTAATGGCCACTTTTTAAAATGTAAAAATGTCCACCCGTACGACGCCGGGACGGGCCGCTAGTCCCGTCTATAACTGCTTGGCTGTGTTCCGGTTTGAAGGGTGGAAACGGCATGAGGTGTAATATTTACCATTTGTAACGGGATTGATAGCAGCGTCCCTCTTAAAACATCACAAAAGCCTAACTGCGGTTTCTTTTTTTTTTCTTTTAATTTCGGCTTTTTAGGGTAGCCATTAGTAGTTGACAACACCGCCTGCCAAGCGTGGCATCTACTGGCAAAAGCTCCCAATAGGATATCGCGTTAACACTGGGCGATAGATTTATATAATAATTACAATTAAAAAATAGTCATAATTATATTTATATTTCTTAAAATCAATATTTATATCCATAGCTTTTATATTTATATTATAATTTTTAAATTTACAAAAATAAATAGAAAATAATGTCAAATAACAATATCTTTGAAACAAAATGAAAAGAAAGGTCTTTGATTATTAATTAAAAATATAATTGCATGCCAATAATGATAATTAAATGTTTTAAAAATGGAATTGTCATATTTATTACTGTAAAAAAAAACATGTAATTAATACTGGCATTTAAGTATTCGGTCACGTTGTCTGAAGATGCAGGGCTGTAGGGCTTAATTCCTTTGCCGTTCCCATTGTGGATTGGTAGTACTTCTACTACTCGATTACATTGTAAAAAGGATTTCAAAAAATTTTTTCAAAAGATTTCGAAATATCTTTATTCTATTTTCAAATTTGTTTCTTAGCAAAATTAAATAACATACTTGACAAAACATTGATTTGAAATAAACAATAGCGATTTAAAGAAAAAGATTTCTCTATTCGATTGTATTTTTTTTTCTTTTTTTTTTATGTTTGTTACCATATAACTCCGTCAATTGGAAACCCATTTGGAATACAATTTGTGGAACACAATTGAAATATTAGATTTTTTTAGCTTTATATTATTGACTTTCACTTGATTTTCACCACCGTACAACCCGCCACAAACTAAAGTTCTATCCCAACCATCTGGATGAGTGGCGGTCCCCAACCGTGCATTTTTCAATGCACTTTATTCCACGCACAACCACTCTTTGGAATCAACTTCCAGCTGCAGTATTTCCGAACTGCTACGACATCATAACCTTCAAAAAGAGAGCATATTCATTTTTAAAAGGCCGGTAGCACACCTGCGATGCCGTTGGTGTTATGGGTGATCAATGGGGGGAAGTGACTTTCCATCAGGTGAGCCGCATGCTTGTTAGCCGCGTGTGTTGTAAAAAAAATTAAAAATTGTTTTCCGCGACGAAGAACGCCTTCCAATATTTTAATAGCAAAAGTACCAAGGAAATTTCATTCTATTATTTTCTTTTCTCATTATATTATTTTCGAAAATTTTATTCGCTCGTGCGAAGCCGGGTCGGAGTGCTTGTAGTAAAATATACCATACAATATTTACTGCTCCAAGTAGAAAGGCGCACATCTATTATTTAGCAATTTGCCATTTTGTTACATCATTCTTTATTTTGGAAAAGCGCAGACACGAAAATAGAAATTTTTAGGAGAATCATGAAACGTCAATGTCATGTTTTGACTCATAAATTGTTTTGTAAGTAATCAACGCATATAATTTTATTTATTTATTAAATTATATAACTTTATTTGGGGTGAACAGTGGATCACGGACGCGGTACTACATGGGCCGAAACCCAGTGCTTTTGTAATAACTGTTCAGTTATAATAATAAATCATTTATTTAGCCACAATACAATAATATTTATTTAAATTTTTTATATTAAAATTATGTTGTAGCAGCTGAAACGGTCCCCACTCAGCGTAAGCTGCAGCGCTGTGCTGCAGCGCTGATTTTCAGTGGGGCCACCACTCGATAGGTAGCACTCGAGAGACAGGATGTAATTTTAGTACTAGTATAGTATTATATTATCTGTGGTAATAGTAACTTACGTAACTAGGCGACATGTATGTAAAACTGCTACTTTTCGGAGAATTATATATGTGAATAGTTGTATACATAGTTTTTTATTTTATTTATGTATTAATGTCATTTTATTATTTATGTATTATTATTATTATTTACATATGTAGGTGTGTACGGTTACTTTTTATTGTATTCTTAGATTATATAGATAGAGTGTCTCCATACAAATGCTTCGTGAAAAGCGGCTCAACTTTTTCATACAATTTTGCGTGATAAATAGTTATGAGTGATTCCTTTATAACTTCTATATTTATTTTGTTTTATAAATTCTGCATCTTTTTAATGCGCAAAATACATTTTACTTCTTAAATAATTAAATATAGATACGTCAAGATACTTTGTCTGCGTAAGTATATAGAACATTGATAAAAGAACGCGTCAGCTAATTTGACAATTAGCTGACAAAAAGTTGACCCGTTTTTTAGGCTCCATGCTCTATCTATGTAATCTAATGTAAGATTACGCTATATGTTTAATTTTAACTAAATATTATTAAGTTTGGCTGTACAAATTTTACTCTCGAACATTCTACAGTTTTCTTTTAGCTCCTCAAAGATTGATGTGTAAGAAATCCCTTTATGGGATAAGTCCGCCATTGTATATTAAATCTTTCAATGTGCCCAATATAAATTATGTACAATAAAGATTTTACATTACAACACAATACAGTTATAGTAAAAATAGTTTTATAATACAAATAAACAAAAAGAAGTGCATAAACATTATAATTGTGCCATTAATCTATATGACACGACGTTTTTCATAAAATAAACACACACACCACTATAGTAAGAAGTTAACGGAATAATTTACAGCTGTTCAAATAGACGCTTGCAAAACACTGATTGGTCAAAAATACAAATGGCGGCAATTCGGTCATTTATACTAATCTATGTTATTATAATTATTATTTTTTAAATTTTACTAAAATCCTCATCTCCCCTCTTAAGGAGAGGAGATGGCAAACTAACCCCCGGCAGAAGCACAGTCGGCCGCGGTTCAGGGCCCCAGGGAGAGAAACCGTACAATGCGGGCAGAATCTAAGAGCACCGCTTTCTGCATCTTTCGCGGGAGTGAGCCGCCTCGGAATGCCAACCGTCTGAGATGTTGTTCCACACTGGTTGGGAT